TGCCACTCCCCTGCTTGTGTTCTCTTGCTAATAAACAAATAAAATCTTAAAAAAAAAAAAAAAAAAAAGGATAAATTGTTAGTAAAACCAGTAAGGAATTAGTTTAAAAAAACTATTCACCTGTTTGAAAAATTATAGATTTATGCATCAAAGATACTTTTGGGATTATCTCTAAGGTTCCCTCTAGCAATCACTGGATTGAAATGTTAAGCTTCTATCCTGAAAATAAAACAAAACAAAAATCCTGAATTAGGTTGTCCAAACTTTTCTTTTTTTTTTAAAGACTTTATTCATTTATTCGACAGAGAGAAATCACAAGTAGGCAGAGAGGCAGGCGGAGAGAGAGGGGGAAGCAGCCTCCCCACTGAGCAGAGAGCCCAATGCGGGGCTTGATTCCAGGACCCTGAGATCATGACCTGAGGTGAAGGCAGAGGCTTGACCCACTGAGCCACCCAGGTGCCCCGAGCTTTTAATTCTATACCTTATATTTTATATCTTTATTAACTTTTTTGAAATCAAACTTATTTTCCAAGTGCATTAATGTGGAAAATGCTCAGAGCAGAGCAATTCTGAATTGCTAGTATTTGTTTATTCTTCCCAGAACGAGTAATATTTAAAGTAGAATATTAATGGCCTGTGCTGTACTAACTATGGCCAGGACATGGCAAAACATGGAATTGACATAACAAATATTGTGGAAATAAATGTTTGTGTGTGCAAATATATCTATGTGTATAAAGGAATTACCAGAAAGGGTGATCAGAGCAGTGGCATGAAAAGCAGTAAAAGCCAATATACATCTTTTGGATTTACCACATTGCCTAACCACAAAATGAAAGGTGCATGCAATCATTGATTAGCCAGGAGGTGAGATTTTAATTGATTTACTTGTAGCATGAGATCACATCACGAGTTGAAACAGAAGAGACGGGGGGCGAAAATTTATACTTACAATTTATACTTACATATATTTTATAATTAAGAAAGAACAGGGGCAACTGGGTGGCTCAGTGGGTTAAAGCCTCTGCCTTTGGCTCTGGTCATGTTCCCAGAGTTCTGGGATCAAGCCATCAAGCCCCCACATCGGGCTTTCCGCTCAGCAGGGAGCCTGCTTCCCCCTCTCTCTCTGCTGGTCTTTCTGCCTATTTGTGATCTCTGTCAAATAAATAAATAAAATCTTAAAAAAAAAAAAACAGTCCTTGAAAATTAAAGCTTTCAAAAAGCTAAGAAACTATCATTTCTCTTCGTATCCTTTTTTTTCCCTTTCATAAATGGGAATGACCATCTATGAATACAGTTAAAAATGTCAACAAGTCTGTCCCAGTGCTTTGCAAACTTTAATGTGTATATTTGTCACAAAAAGATCATTATGTATTGAATTCTGTTACCACATGAATTGAGGGGCTGAATAATGGGTCCCCCCCCCCCCCGAACATTTACAACCTAATCCTGGAGTTTGTGAATGCTAATTTACATGCCAAAAGGGATCTGCAGATGTGAGTAACAGCCTTGAGATAGGGATATTATCCTGGATTATCTGACTGAGCCCTAAGTGTAATCACAAGTGTCCTTATAAAAGGAAGGCAGGAGACAGATTTGGAAAAAAGCAATTGAATCAGACTGGAAACAGAAAGAGACTGGAAGATGCTACACTGTGTCTTTGAAGATGGGCTATGAGCCAAAGAATGCAGGCAGCTTCTAGAAGCTAGAAAAGGCAAGAAAATGGATTTTCCCTACACCCTACAGAAGGAATGCAGGCTTGCTGATGCCTTGACTTTAGCCCTGTGAAACTGATTTCAGACTCCAGAACCGTAAGATAATAAATGTGTGTTCTTTTAAGCTACTAAATCTGTGGTAATTTTTTTACCAAAACAATGGAAAATTAATACAATTTCCATTTCAATTTCTTTTAAAAAGGAACTTGTATGCTTATTAAAAGCACTGTTTATAACACTAAAAAATATAGTAATAACAAACTCCAAAAAGAAGTTTAAAATTATGCACAAACATTAAAAACGATCATAGAAAAATTATGAGGAGCACAAGAGGATATATATCAGGCTCTTTAAAAAGCAAGTAACAGGGCACCTGAGTGGCTCAGTGGGTTGGGCCTCTGCCTTTGGCTCAGGTCATGATCCTGGGGTCCTGGGATTGAGCCCCGCATCAGCCTCTCTGCTCGGTGGGGAGCCTGCTTCCCCCCTTCTCAGCCTGCTGCTGCCTACTTGTGATCTCTATCTAAAAAATAGGTTAAATCTTTAAAAATTAAAAAAAGTAATAATAAAAAGTAACAATTTTTTTTAAGATTTTTATTTATTTATCTGAGAGAGAGAGAGCATGAGAAGGGAGAGAAGCAGAGGGAGCAGCAGATTCCCCACTGAGCAAGGAGCCTGACATGGGGCTTGATCCCAGGACCCTGAGATCATGACCCAAGCTGAATGCAGACACCTAACTGACTGAGCTACCCAGGTGCCCCCAAATTTCATGAATTTCTACAGACTGAATTCTCTACCCAAAATTCATGTTGAAGCTCTAAATTTCAGTGTCACTATATTTGGAGATAGGGCTTTTAGAAGGTAATTAATGTTAAATGAGGTCATAAAGGTAAAGTCCTAATCTGATAGGACTGGTGGCTTTTTAAGAAAATGGAGAGAGAAAGATCTCTCTCCATGCACATTCACCAAGGAAAGGCCTTGTGAGCACGGAATAAGTAGGCGGCCGTCTACAAGCTTCATTGGAACCACACCATGCTGGCACAATGATCTGGGACTTCCAGTCTCTAACACTGTGAGAAAATGTTGTTGCTTAAATTTATGGTATTTTGTTATTGAAGCCCAAGCAGATTAAGATTTAAGTGTATAACTAGGAAAATAATTATCTTCTTAGCAATAGCAACACTTTGAAAGGCTATTTTAAAGATTTTATGTATTTGAGAGAGGGTAGGAGGGAAGGGGAGAGGTAAGAGGGAGAGGGAGAGGTAGATTCCCTGCTGAGTGGAGTGCTGGACACAGGCTGATTGATCCTGAGATCCGGGGATCATGACCTGAGCCGAAGGCAGATGCTTAACCAACTGAACCACCAGACGCCCCGAAAGGCTATTTTATATAATTTACCTAAAGAGTTGCAAACAAAAAGAAATACACTTGGCTTTGTCTATATTCTGGGTCCTATAGTTCTTTAAAGTAGTGTTATGATGCTTTATGAGATTTCTATAGTTCTGAAGCCTAGTAACACTGATATTTATCACTTATAACCCCCTCACTCTCTTGATTTTATGATCTGAGCAGAGAGAATATAAAATGATGGGTAATTTTTTTAATAATGCCTGCATTGATAATAAAAATATATGCCTCAAAGACCTCAAAAATAATTACAACCAGTCATTCTTCACTAAAGTAGTCATTTGAAATTAGTCTTATATAATTAGATGACCAAATACCTGATTTGCCTGGGATGGTCCTGATTTATGTCCACTGTCCTGATGTAACTGTTAGCAGTGTCTAATTTCATTCTCAAAAAAGTCCTGGAAAACTACGGTTATTCTACATATAATCATTACAGAATAATTTTATTTTTAAAATTTTATTAATTTAATGGTCAGTCTGGGACAGGAAATACCAAGTATCACTAAAATCTGGAGAATATGGTTGTCACAGTATATAATTTTGAATTATTTAAATAATTTTCCTCCACTGAAAAAACACAGTAAATTTTGTGAATGAATGGAGAAGTACTAAGAAGAATCAGGTGCCAAAATATTTTTAGATGATTTTAAAACTACTCAAGAATCCAAATTTTTAATTTATTCCAAGTGTTAAGATTATTCAAAGGAAAATGTCAATACATCTAGAATTCTAGAATGGATCACACCATGTTTCCAAAATGTAGAAATAAATAATTGTGAGTTTATCAACTTGAGTATTCTGGAAGATGAACATTCTAGACAATTTCTAGATAGGGTAACAGCTCCAAGTCCTTCCCTTAACATAAAGTAACATAAAAAATAAACAAATGGCCTAGGATTTGGGGATTAGGGTCACTAAATTAGGATTGGGATCACTAAAATCTGATTGGTCATCTAAAATTTGTATCCTACCATTAAAACTGAATACAATAATATGCTGACTCATGGTGCTGGCTTTCCTTTATAATACTAAAAACAAGCCTTTTTCTTTTTTTGTAGTTTTATGGTTTTATTAACACAAATACGACATACACATAAATTGTCTATTCTTTTTCTTGGCTGCGCAGCCTGGCATCGGGACTGGTAACTCTGATGTCCAGCAGGATTGCTCTTTCCAGTGGCTTTGTGGTTCTTGGAGGATATACTGTGAGCAATCTCCGCACAGTAAGATTTGCTACACATCAGCAGCACTTCAAGCTCCTTGACACTGTGGACCAGGAGCTTGAGAAACCACTGGGCAGCATGTGCTTTGTTTTCTTGTTGCTCCTGTAGCCAGTTTTGGGCATCAAGATCTAGCCCTCGAATCTTCTGTGCACCCTATTGTCAATGACTCTGGGTTTCCACATTGTGCTTAATTTTGATATATCAGTCTGCCTGGTGCTGGATGAACTTCTTGATTCTCTTTTTAATGGTATTGGGGTTCACCAAAGGTCTGAGGGCGACCATGATGTCAAGTAAGAGATAGCTGAAAACCAGGTCATTTTTAAGAATTATCAAAATTACATTTAGGGGCGGTTGGGTGGCTCAGTTGTTAAGTGTCTGCCTTTGGCTCAGGTCAAGATCCCAGGGTCCTGGGATCGAGCCCAGAACTTCCTGCTCCACGGGAAGCCTGCTTCTCCCTCTCCCACTACCCCCTGTTTGTGTTCCCTCTCTCACTCTCTGTCAAATAAATAAAATCTTAAAAAAACAAAACAAAACAAAAAAAACCCCTACATTTAAAGGGAAAAACCCAATAGGAATGTGAAAAAAAAAAAAACAAAACCTTTTCTTCCTAGGATTTTCTAGGCAACTAGCAAAGAAAATAGGAAAAAACAATTCAGATTGGCTACATGAGATCACCTTTCCACACTTGCAAAAATACAATACCTGTATCATCTCTGCTGTTACTAAAAATGAAAACAGGGCAAAATATAATTGTAGAACTGCTTTAGAAAAATGCAGAGAATCATACTCATTTAGTGTTTTTCACATTCACTTCATATGCTCTTGATTCATATATGCCATAGTGTGTGTTTATATTTTAAAATAAAGAGTCTACTACTTGTATATATTACATCTCACAGCATCAACACATATGTATACTTTAAGATGAGTCTTTGGATTCCTGTTGTTCTTCTGATTCTCGCGACCGTTTCTGGAAATTCAGTGAACCTTCTGTTTGCAAAGAAGATGCAGTAGCAACAACAGCATCTCTAAATCCCTGAGGCTGGAAGATGAAAAAATATGCAAGTATGGTTTAAGAACATCTAAAATAACATTTGGTTTTCAAAATATTTTGAAGTTATTTATAAAAGAGCTAGTTTATTCTTGAGACAGAAGTTATGAAGCACTGCAAATGCAGAGGTTAAACCTCTTGAACTGGTGTCCAAGCCAAAGCTGTACTAGAGTATTTTAGATCTAGAGTATATCTGTATTTATTTATTTATATATTGTTTATACATACACACACAGAAGTAACAGCGCATTATAAAAATATACTCCAAAAGAAAATCTTAACAAATTTTATAGTGACTCTATTAAAGAGTAAAAGGAAGTAACATGTACTAATTACTTAGGTGCTTTACAAATTTATTTTCACAATTAAATACTCAAAATTTAGTTTTCCAATTAGGATACTTTAAATGCACCTAAGCAGTACAAAGACTGAGTTGATAATTCAGTTTCAGAATTTCTTTCTATTTCTGTTTTTGTCCTTAAAAAAATGAGATGCCAAGAATATATCTGGCTCAATACTACTGATAAATATGCATATTTCAGCCAAAAAAGTGTGTTCTAGGATTTTAAATTATAGGAAAATTAACATTTTAAAGCAGGATATATTTGGTGGCTATGACAGATCTATAATATCTACAGACTAAAATGGGTAATGTTAGTATTTTTTTCTTGGAAAATCTTTAACAACTTTCACTTTAAAAATTTTTAATATCCTGACATTACATATGGCATGGAACACATTAGCCTACAAATAAGTATTTCCTCTGTTCTTAAGAATAAATTTCAGTCCAATTGTCACCAGAATATTCTGTATATGTACTATTTTGAGGATAATGTTCTAAGCATCGAAAGCTGTCCTCAAATATGCTTGCTGCCTACAGAAGTTAACAGAAGCAATTTGTAAATGCTCTCTTCAGATAATTACTGCCCACCAACACCAAAACCCCACTCTAATCAAATAATACTGACTGTGATTTGAAACAGTACTGTAGCTTCCTTCTGGCTTGGTGATTTGTACAATGTTGCCAACCTGCTTAGAGAAAAAGAATAAATATACACAAACACATGATCTTAGTTCAGATGACTTAAATAATAATTTACATTTAAAGTTTTTCACTACAATTCTATTGTTTTCTTCCCTAAGGACACGGAAAGCAAAGAAATATCAAAAAGATTCCTTTAATCAATAGCTATATGTATGCATATAATAATTATTACATATAATAACAAGAGCTGTTTATAGAAGTGGAATTTTAAAGCAACCTAAATGTCCAATGAGTAATTCAAATAAATTTCTACATGACAAAATACTACTGATGCTGCAGAAGATGTGGAAAAAAATATTTAACAATATAAAAAAATGTTAATATATTAAGTAAAAGTTACGCTGTGTGAGCCCACAATTATGAGTATGTAAATCAACATATATAGAAAAATTACTAGAAGACTACAAGCAAAACGTTAAGTTGTTATTATAAGATAAAGATTGTTTTTTTTGTTTTTCCAACTTTATGCAGTAATTGTGTTACTTGTCACGACAGAAGTATTAGACAATTTCTTGGGATATAAATGAGGAGTGCATAGTCATATCATACTGATACAAATAAGCAAGGAAGAAAGATTCTTTCAAAATGATTATATCCAGAGAATCATCATCATGACAGAACAAGGTCTGTTTAGGTAGAATCTTATTGTGTTCTCTACAAAGTAATATAAAATTGAAAGCTGAAAGTAGTTAGATATAAAATTCTAAGCTCTTATTAAGCTTGCTCAAATATTATAAAAGCAACAAATATAAGCAAAAAATTTTATTAAATTATTTTTAAAAAATTTTTCAAATTAAGTAATCTCTATGTCCAACGTGGGGCTCAAACTCATGACCCCAAGATCAAGAGGCTTATACTCTACAGACTAAGCCAGCCAGGTGGCCTATGCAAAAAACTTTTTTTTTTTTTTTTAAGATTTTATTTATTTATTCATCAGAGAGAGAGAGAGAGAGAGTGAGCACAGGCAGACAGAGTGGCGGAGGGAGAAGCAGGCTCCCTGCAGAGCAAGGAGCCCGATGCGGGACTCAATCCCAGGATGCTGGGATCATGACCTGAGCCGAAGGCAGCCGCTTAACCAACTGAGCCACCCAACTGTCCCGCAAAAAACTTTTTTTTTAAAGATTTTTATTTGTATATCTTATTTGAGAGAGAGAGAGAGAAGGAGAGAGAGCAGGGGTAAAGGCAGAGGGAGAGAATCTCAAGCAACCTCTGAACTGAGCACAGAGCCAGACGTGGGGCTCAATTCCACAACCCTGAGATCATGACCTGAGCTGAAACCACGAGTTGGGCGCTTAACTGACTGAGCCACTCAGGTGTCACCTAAGCAAAAGCTTTTTAAGTGCTTTTCAAAATTACTTTAAAACTGATATAACTTATTCACAATAGCCAAAAGACAGAAGCAACCTAAGTGTCTGACAGATGGATAAGTTTTTACATATAATGGGATCTTATTTAGTCTTGGAAAGGAAAGTTCTTGTCACCATGTACAGTGAACATTGAAAACTAGGCTAAGTGAAAAAAGGCCAGGCACAACAGGATAAATATTGCATCACTCCACTTACATGAGGTGCCTAGAGTACTCAAATTCATAGACAGAAGGTAGAATGGTGGTTGCCATAGACTGGGGGAGGGAAGAATAGCAGTTAGTGTTTAATGAAAGCAGTTTCAGTTGGGGAAGATGAAAAAGTTCAGGAGATGGATGGAGGTGATGACTGCACAATAATGTGAATGTACTTCATGTCACTAAACTGTACACTTAAACAACAAAACATAACATTTTATCATATGTATAATTTACTACAATTTAATTTTAAAAAAGTGTTTTAAAGTAGGCTCTATACCCAACCTGGGGCTTGAACTCACAGCCCCAAGATCAAGAGTTGCATGATCTACTGACTAAGCCAGGCAGGCACCCCACAATTTACCAATTTTAAAAACTGAAATACGCAAGGAGCACTGGGTGTTATATGCAACTGATGGATTGTTGAACACTACATCTGAAACTAATGATGTACTATATGATGGCTAACTGAATTAAAAAAAAAAAAAACAAAAAACCATGTCCCTCTCCCTACCACAAAAAACAATGCTATAACTGCACAAAATGCAGATTCTAACTTAGAGAAAAATAAACTCTGAGAGAGTTAAAAGAATCACCTTCTTACATACAATGTAATGTTGATTTATTTTTTACTGGCTGCTTGGAGTTTGTTTTCTACTTGGTTCAAGGCACATGGTTACAGGGTGTCAGGAAGGCTTGAGTGTGGCTTGGACAGTAAACAGCAAGGTTCTCTCAATTTCCCTTTTGGTGTTTTGCTGTTTTGATATAAAAGAACCCACTGCTTCTGCTTGCTGTAGACTGCCTAGTTTATGGGAGGGGAGGAGAAGAGCTCTGATGAGCCTAGCACCTTCTCAATGAGGCTGGTGGCTGGTATGGCTACTCAGGATTGGGGCCCAGTGTTGGCTTTTCCAGGCTGGCCACCATGCTGCTTCCTCAAGGCTTCCAGAGCCGAGTCACAGGTGATCATGCTACTGGAGGCCTGAGGAGATTCTGAGCCTTCTGGAGACTCCAACACTATAGCCATGAATGGGAGAGTGGACTTCCCAAAAAAGAACCTTGCCCACCAATAACCCGAGTCAGCCTTGGCGAGACCAGGGAGGCGAGGGATGGCTGCACTTTCACAGGAGCTGTTACCAGAAGTGGAACCCAGGACACACTGGTAATAGGTAGCCACAAGTGAGCTGCTGGAGGAGATGGCTGCCATGCAGTCGCTTGTGGGCTGGTGGAAACCTTGGCAGTAACCCCTCATGGGCCTCAGAACATGATCATGGGTGCAGGGATCAGGATACTAGGCCACAAAGCCCATTTGCAGAGGGAGCCCGGAAGACTGCTCCACGACAGAGGCAGGAGCAGTTTCTGATTTGTTTTCAAAGACAATTCAGAAGGACACATTGGTTCATGATATGTTACTCTTCAAAGTTTGAAATTGCCCCTCTGCTCAGACACAACTCAAAAGAGAAGCAATCAGCGGTGCCTGGGTGGTGCCATTTGTTAAGTATCTGACTCTTGATTTTGGCTTAGGTCATGATCTCAGGGTCCTGGGATCAAGCCCCACTGAGCGCTGAGCCTCCTTGAGACTCTCTCCCTCTCCTCCTCCCTCTACCCTTCCCTCCTGGTGCACATTCACTTTCTCTCTCTCTCAAATGAATAAATAAATCTTCAAAATAAAAAAAGAGAAGGGGTGCCTGGGTGGCTCAGTGGATTAAAGCCTCTGCCTTTGGCTCAGGTCATAATCCCAGGGTCCTGGGATAGAGCCCTACATTGGGCTCTCTGCTCAGCGGGGAGCCTGCTTCCCCGCCGTCCCCCGGTCTGCCTCTCTGCGTAGTTGTAATATCTGTCTGTCAAATAAATAAATAAACTCTTTAAAAAAAAAAAAGGGAGAGAAGTAATCAGAGATCACAGTCCATTAGTTTAATGTTTTAGGTTTATACTTTTGGACAAAAACAACAATCTAAAAATGTCATATACTCTGTAATTGCAATTGTAGGCAAAAATGAAGTAACTGCTGTGTAATATGTAATATAAGAATAGTTGTGTTAGGGATGGAGATTATAAATTTTTACAATGCTTTAGTGTTGATAATTCTATCTTTAATACAAAATATAACAGAAAAAATGGGCGCTTGGCTGGCTCAGTTGGTAGAACATGTGACTCTTGATCTCCAAGTTGTAAGGTGGAGCTCCACTTCAAGCAGAGATTACTTAAAAAATATTTTTTTAAATAAATAAAATTTAAAAAAATATATATAGGGACGCCTGGGTGGCTCAGTGGGTTAAGCCTCTGCCTTCGGCTCAAATCATGTTCTCAGAGTCCTGGGATCGAGTCTCGCATCGGGCTCTCTGCTCAGCAGGGAGCCTGCCTTCCTCTTTCCCTCTCTGCCTGCCTCTCTGTCTACTTGTGATCTCTCCTCTGTCAAATAAATAAATAAAATCTTTAAAAAAATATATATATATGTAACAGAAAAATAGAGGAATAGCTCATTTTAGCCTGCCTTATTACAAAACATCACTTTGATTCAATAAAACAAAAATTAGCTAACCTGAAAAATTAGTATCTAAATCACCTTGTAATATCACCATATATCCAAAAAGATACCCAATACATCTGAATTTTCTGAGAAAATTATTAAAAAATAAATAAACTTTTGGGGCACCTGGGTGGCTCAGTCATTAGGCGTCTGCCTTTAGCTTGGCTCATGATCCCAGGGTCCTGGGATCGAGTCCCACACTGGGCTCCTAACTCATCGGGGAACCTGCTTCTCCCTCTCCCTCTGCCAGCTGCTCCCCCTACTTGTGCTTATTCTCTGTCTGTCAAATAAATAAAATCTTGGGAAAAAAAAAAAAAAGCTTTTAAGCTTTTACATGTTTATTAAAAATCCTAAAGTCAAGTGGGCATTAAATATTCAGGTTGAAAAATTTCCTCAAATTCCTAAGTAAAAATAAAATAATTTTATATGTCATATCTGCATCTCAAGAAATCTTCTTAAACAACAAACTAAACCAAAGAATCACTTGGCTCATGGCCCCAGCTGAGATGAAGCTTAACATATGGCTGAACTACACAGTTTGGGTCAGGAAGAAATAAGACAGAAGCACAATTTGTGCTCTAAAGCTGAGCACACATATGAAACACTGTGTGGGGGTGTTGATATATTACTCCACTCTACCACCAGATCTTCTTGGCAAAGAATGATATAATTCTGAACAATCTCAGCCTCATATTATCATGAATATGCAAACTGGAGGAAAACCCGCACAATATACAGGACAGAGACAAAAGTACTTATTTGAATAACTGCTGGAATGTCATTTCATTGTTAGTCAAAAGGTAAAAGTCGGGTGTTTTGGTGAAAGATGGGGACTGGAGTATAATATAGGACACTAAGGTTCAATTCTCAATATAAATTTGGTTAATCAAGGTTTTTAGTTTTCTGCTCAAACTGGAAGTTTCATTTTTATAACTATTTTTCCCCAGTGTGAATTTCTATTTTTGTCCTTTCAAGATAAACTAAATTTTAGAACACATACAAGATTTCATGCAACTCTAATGACTTAAAGATAACTGGTTTCTTTTTTTTTTTAAGATAACTGGTTTCAAACAATGAAGAATAAAACTATTTAATTCTATTAAATGAGGTCAACTTATTTTGATTATAATGAAGTATGCACATTACTTATCATATATCCCCAGCTTGGGTGGGGGGGGAGAAACAGTTTGAAGAAAAGGATTTTACCTAAAAAGGAAGATAAGAGTTTACTTCCAGATTTGCTGGCAATCAACACAATACTGTAATTACATTGTAGAAAAAGCAATCATAGTAAAAGAAACAGACTATTATAGAGTCAGCTATAAAAATGTGGATATTACTACTTATTTCATAGTTATTTGGAAAATAAAATGAAATACATATACACACACACACACACACAATGCTTAACACAATAAAGGACAGTTAATAAAATTTCAATAAATGGTAGCTATTAATTACACTTTATCTTTCTGGGCAGATTTGGTCTTCTCACATAGGTTTAGATCCTTCAAAGAGTTATTGAAGGGATTATATGACATATTATATATAAACTGCCCAGTGAAATACCTATCATAAGCAAGCAGTCCTAAAATGATAGTTTGGGATATAGAAAAAACTTATGGGAACAGAGATGCCCTATGGGATATAGAAAAAACTTATGGGAACAGAGATGCCCTAAATCCATCTAATTCAGGGCATTTGGGTGTTGATTACATGTCTGCCTTCGGCTCAGGTCATGATCCTGGGGTCCTGGGATGGAGCCCCACATCAGGCTCCATGTTCACAGGAAGCTTGCCTCTCCCTCTCCTCCCTACTTGTGCTCTATCTTTTCTCAAAAAAATAAATAGAATCTTTAAAAAAAAAAAAATCTATCTAATTCAATGTTCAACACCATTCTCCAATTTCTTGGAAAGGATGAGTAAGAAGCTGAAAGTCATAAAATGGTTAATGCTTAAAAAATGAGCCTAATTTTCTGATCTCATGGGTACCTTAACCAATGCTAACTTCTAGAATTTGACAAAGAAGGCAAACATTTTCTGATGAATGCATTAAAAGATGAAACATCTTGGTTTGCTCATATTTTTGTATTTTAGATGTATCTCTATTAGTAAATATTTAATAGTAGAGTAAGAGTGGAAGACTACTACTATATACTTGTTCAAGGAGAATCCCTAAAAACATTTACACAGTGGGATGCACTTTACGGAAAACCTAAATCTTGGAAAGTATAAGCAATATGTTCAAAAGATTCTCATCTGGAGAACTATTGCCAAAGGGTTTGTTGCTGAGGAAAGAATTCCTTTTGTGATCCAGAATACAATGACTTATTTACAGAACTGGGGGATGGAAGTCAATTGTAAAGCACTGTGTGTTATGAAAAAAAAAAAGTTACCTGAGCTCTCTGGAAATGTTATTTTTTTAAAAAGATTTTATTTATTTATTTGCCAAAGAGAGAGAGTGCGCACACGCAGGCAGATAAGTAGACAGAGGGAGAGCCCAATGCAGGGGTTAATCCCAGGACCCCAGGTCCATGACCCAAGCTGAAGGCAGACACTCAACCAACTGAGTCACCTAGGTGCCCCCAAAAAATGTTATTTTTAAAAGATATATAAACCACAAGAATTGGTTTCAAAAGATGTATGTAAGTGTAATAAATTCTGCCATGAGTTCAGAGTAAGGAAAACCTAATTTGGTCAGGCACGATTTTTTTTTTTTCAGTTTGGAGAACAAAAATAAATGTAGGCAAAAACTAAGACAATTTCACTGACCAGACCTGATATATATTTAAGTAACCCTTTTTTCCATCTTTGCCCACATGCTTTCTCAATTTCCTCCTTTCATTACAGTATTTCCAAACCAACTGCTTTCAGTTATACAAATTAATCTCAAAGCAGAGGGGCTGGCATAAATCTGACATTTCTAGAAGTGTAGAATAAAAGACTCCACAGCTTTCATTTGCCTGTTTTAAAGAAAATGAAAGGTGGTTTGTTCACCTGCTCAGCAGCTTTAAAAACAAATACAAAGGTTTCATGCTGTCATAGTTTTATTTTAAAGAACAATACTTGTGAAAGGCAGGTAAGTAACTGGGTAACAAAAGTAGGATAGCAAAATACAAAAGAAAACAAAAATAGACACAATTTCATACAAGAAATATATTAAGCAACTATGAAAAGCCATCCTATTTTCCACATAAATTAGTCCTAAAGCTAATCTCAAAAATTTTCCTTTGTCCTAATTTTATTCTTCTTTCAATCCCTTCTAGGAACACAGAGTACCCACCTCCTTCTGCAAGGATAATAAATGGTACTTGATTTTAAAGAGCTTTAGAAGGTAGCATTCCTTGGCCACCTACTCATTTCAGGTGCACCCCATCATTTAAATATTCCAAAGAATTTCCTATGTTAGCTAAATGTGCAGTTTAACAACATGTTTCTATGTTTTCTGTCGGTGATGGAGGACAAGGCAACAAAAGCTTTCATTCATGAGACACTGTAGATTTCACCCACTGCAGTAGATCAAAGAAAATATAAATGTTTAGTGTAATTAACCCAATATTCAGAATTATTAACTTGTTTCTATACTGACCTTTGCTTTTGGTCCCAATGAAAGATTAGCCGTATTGTAGCAGCATGTCCCCAACTTTCCCCTGGTGGGAACAAAAACAGAACAACTGTATATTGCCTTACTCACAAGGTTATAAGTCTCTCAGAATGCCTCTGACCAAAAGAGTTTTACTTTACCTAATTTAACACGAGAATATACTTATACTTTCAAAACCCCTTGTACACATGGATAACATCCTGAGATTAACAGATTTTTACCTAGCTGTGGAAATAATGAAGATCATTATCCTTTACTTGCTTTCAGAAAACTTTATAGTTTGAGTCAACATTTTGTTAATCTTCTGTATCATCAGACCTACTAACATATTGCTGGCTACCAGAAGAAGAGCAAAAACTTTGACAGAATATTCTTGAAGAATTTAGTAAAAGAAAAATCTTGAAGCACTGTGTCCTTGAGGTTAGAAAGAACCATAAGGGGGCGCCTGGGTAGCTCAGTGAGTTAAGCCTGTCTTCGGCTCAGGTCATGATCTCAGGGTCCTGGGATGAGCCCCACATCGGGGTGTCTGCTCAGTGGGGAGCCTGCTTCCCCCTCTCTCTCTGCCTGCCTCTCTGCCTGCTTGTGATCTCTGTCAGTCAAATAAGTAAATATCTTTTTTAAAAAAAGTAAGTCATAAGTCTGTTTACTGTAGTGTGATCTGTATTTAAATGGATTCACCCTTCCTCCTGCTTAAGACTTTCTGAAGGCAAGAGTCATCTTATGAATATTTATATGCTCGGTGCCTGACACAACACTTGCCAAATAATAGATGCTTAATAAATGGTTGTTAAATAACTGAAAGGATGAGTGGGTATCTAAGGGCACTGCGTTCCATGCCAAGACTTATCAGTGAAGGGGCGCCTGGGTGCTTCAGTCTTTAAGCGTCTGCCTTTGGCTCAGGTCATGATTCTAGGGTCCTGGGATCAAGTCCCGCATTGGGCTCCCTACTTGGTGGGAAGCCGGCTTCTCCCTCATCTACTCTCCCTGCTTGTGTTCCCTCTCTCGCTGTGTCTCTCTCTGTCAAATAAATAAATAAAATCTTAAAAAAAAATAAGACTTGGGACGCCTGGGTGGCTCAGTTGGTTAAGCAGCTGCCTTCGGCTCAGGTCATGATCCCAGCGTCCTGGGATCGAGTACCACATTGGGCTCCTTGCTTGGCGGGGAGCCTGCTTCTCCCTCTGCCTCTGCCTGCCATTCTGTCTGCCTGTGCTCGCTCGCTCTCTCTCTCTCTGACAAATAAATAAATAAAATCTTTAAAAAAAAAAAAAGACTTATCACCAAATAATCAGAAACAATCTCTGCTTTCGTGGAACTTCCAGTACTGAACAAGCATCACATCAAAGAAATAAAAAAAATATGTTAAGTTAAAAATGCTTATCTGGGGCACCTGGGTGGCTCAGTCGAAAGAGCATGTGATTCTTAATTTTGGGGTCGTGAGTTCAAGCCCCACGTTGGTTGTAGAGATTACTTAAATAAATAAAAAATTTAATAAAAATGCTTCTCTGATTACCCACCCAATGCAGGAACAAGCAAGGCCTGATTTCTATCAATCTTCGTTGTCATCTGATTAGTTAAAAGTACCTAAAAAAAAGAGTGAGAAAATTAGGCGAATCTCTCCCCAAAATTACCAAGGAAATAGTTCTGTGATTTTAGTGTTCTCAATACAACTTAAAGAAAAAAATATTTAGATTTTATTTATTTAATTGACAGAGGGAGAGAGCACAAGTAACCAGAGCGGCAGGCAGAGGGAAAGGGAAAAGCAGGCTCTCCGCTGAGCAGAGAGCCCAATGCGGGGCTTGATCCCAGGACCCTGGGATCATGACCTGAGCTGAAGGCAGCCGCTCAACCAACTGAGCCACACAGGCGCCCCAAGAAAAATATATTTAGGTAATGAAAACTTTTCTGATAAATTTTTAAATTTGCCCATAAGTTATCTGAAACCATGATTTCATTGAAATAAGCATTTTTAACAGACAAGAGCAACTGTGAAAATGGGAGAATAAAAATATTACAGATAATAAATACACAAGAGTGTAATGAGATCATGTATAAAAACTTCAAAACTGGGAGCACTGGAAAAACCTCACTTTTAAAATATAAGTTTTGGATGGGTGCCTAGGTGGCTCAGTCAGTTAAGCATCTGCCTTTAGCTCAGGTCATGATCTCAGGGTCTTGGGATGGAGTCCCATGTCACTTCTCCCTCTCCCTCTGCCTGCTGTTTCCCTTGAGCACGCTCTGTCAAGTAAATAAATAGAATCTTTAAAAATAAATAAATAAATAAAATTTAAGTTTTGGATAAGCCAATAGAAACCACCCAGACCAGGGTGCCTGGGTGGCTCAGTCAGTTAAGCGTCTGCCTTTGGCTCAGGTCATGATCCCAGGGTCCTGGGATCGAGCCCCATATTCGGCTCCCAGCTCAGTGAGGAGTCTGCTTCTCCCTCTCTTTCCGACTGCTGCTCTTTCTGCTTGTGCTCTGTCAAATAAATAAATAAAACCTTAAAAAAAAAAAAAAAGAGGGGCGTCTGGGTGGCTCAGGTCATGATCCGAGTGTTCTGGGATCAAGCCTGCATCAGGCTCCTTGCTCAGCGTGAAGACTGCTTCTCCCTCTCCCACTCTCCTTGCTTATGTTCCCTCTCTCACTGTGTCTCTTTCTGTCAAATAAATAAATAAAATCTTAAAAAGAAAAAAAAAAAAACAAAGAAAGAAAACAAAACAAAACAAAACCCACCACACCAACAGCAGCAATATCAGTAGTGGTGATAAACATTACTGAGTACTTACTATATGCCAGAAACTATAACTATACTAAGTGCTTTACTTTCATTATCTTATCTAGTCTTCACAATAACTCTATGAATGAGGTAATATTGTTAATATTTTTTGAGATAATTATTCCAGTTTAACACATGAGAAATCAGAAATTTAGAAAGATTGAGTCTGGTGTTTTTGTTTTTTTCCTACCACTGCTGCCTCTCTAGAATATATTTAATCAAAAGAGTGTGAGATACTTAATAAATAACTCACTGTTTACATCTTTAGGAAAGTGGCAAATACATTATTACCATTTCTGGTTTTATAGGAAACAGACAAAAATTATGAGAAAAGACCTAATCATAAAGAAAATACAGAAATGTAAAAAATAAAACCCAGTAATCAGGTCAAATGACTGAAAATTTTAACTATACTAGTCTGCTAATAATAGGTGTTGCTTTACTCAAGGATGGCTTTTAAGGCTAAAAATAGTACTAATTCTTTTGGATTAAACAGTGACCTATAGAAAAGATTCCATGTTTTGAAGGATAGTAATTTTTTTGTTTCTTTTTTTTAATTTTAATTCTAGTTTAGTTAACAGTGTTATATTAGGTTCAGGTGTACAATATAGTGATTCAACAATTCTATACATTACTCAGTGCTCATTAAGTGTACTCTTTAAAGATTTACTTATTTGAGAATAAGCAAGCAAGCTGTGGTGGCGGGATCCTTGAGCAGACCCCCGCTGACTGGAACCTGAACATGGGGCTCAATTCCAGGACCCTGAGACATGACCCGAGCTGAAACCAAGTGTCAGACACTTAACTGACTGAGCCACCCAGGCGCCCCAAGATAAGTGTACTTTTAATTCCTTTTGCCTATTTCACCCATTCCCCGACGAACCTCCCCTCTGGCAACCATCTGTTTGTTCTCTGTAGTTAAGAGTCTGGGTATGTGTATATGTATCTACATACACACACACACACACACCACATCTTCTTTATCCATTCATCTGTCAATAGACACCTGGGCTGCTTCCATATATATATATACATAAATATGTGTATATATATATATTTTTTTTTAAACTGGCTGCATTTCTTTTTTTTAAGATTTTATTTATTTGACAGACAAAGATCACAAGTAGTCAGAGAGGCAGGCAGAGAGAGTAGGGGGAAGCAGGCTCCCTGCTGAGCAGAGAGCCCAATTCGGGGCTCGATCCCAGGACCCTGAGACCATGAACTGAGCGGAAGGCAGAGGCTTTAACCCACTGAGCTACCCAGGCACCCCTGCATTTCTTTTTTTTGAATTTTATTTATTTATCAGAGAGAGGCAGCACAAGCAGGGAGAGGTGAGGCAGAGGGAGAAGCAGGCTCCCTGCTGAGCAAGGAGCTGGATTTGGAACTCGATCCCCCAACACTCGGATCATGATGAGCCCAAAGCAGATGCTTCATCCACTGAGCCACCCAGGTATCCTATTTTGGCTATTATAAATAACACTGCTATAAACATGAGGGTACATATATCCTTTTGGATTAGTGTTTTCTTACTCTTTGGATAAATAGTGCAATTATTGGATCATATGTTAATTCTAACCAACAGATCATGAGGTCCCTTTTTCTCCACATCCTCGCCAACACTTGGCTGTTTCTTGTGTTTTTTATTTTACCCATTCTGACAGTTGTGAGGTGGTATCTCACTGTGGTTTTGATTCCCCTGATGGTGAGTGATATTGAGCATCTTTTCATGTGTCTATTGGCCATTTTGTACATCTTCTTTGGAGAAATATGTGTTCATGTATTCTGCCTGTTTTTTAATTGGATTATTTGCTTTTTGGGTATTAAGTTGTATAAATTCTGGTGTTTTTTTTTTATACTACCCTAAAGCCAAAAAACATTTATTCAACCCTATAAGCATTGAGTTGTATAAGTTCTTGATATATTCTGGATACTAACCCTTATTGGATATGTCATTTACAAATATCTTTTCCCATTCAGTAAGCTGTCTTTTAGTCTTGTTGACTGCTTCCTCTGTTATGCAGGAAGCTTTTTATTTTGATGTAGTCCCAATCACTTATTTTTACTTTTGTTTCCCTTGCCTCAAAATGAAGGATAGTAATTTTAAAGTAGAGAAAGACTGTTTAAGGTTGACTGAATACAGTAAAAGATTATCTGGCACCTCCCAGCCCCAAATTCTTCAGAAAGAGTTATTTTATTTATTTATTTTTAAAAGATTTTATTTATTTATTTGACAGACAGAGATCACAAGTAGGCAGAGAGGCAGGCAGAGAGAGAGGGGAAAGCAGGCTCCCCGCCGAGCAGAGAGCTCGATGTGGGGCTCAATCCCAGGATCCTGAGATCATGACCTGAGCTGAAGGCAGAGTCTTAAACCACTGAGCCACCCAGGCGCCCCAGAAAGAGTTATTTTAAATATTCTTCCAATACAGATCATCCCCCCAGAAATATGACAGATACTACTGCAAGCTGAAAGTCATAAAGAACTTCTATGAAAAGCAATGAGAGGGGCGCCTGGGTGGCTCAGTGGGTTGGGCCGCTGCCTTCGGCTCGGGTCATCATCTCAGGGTCCTGGGATCGAGTCCCACATCGGGATCTCTGCTCAGCAGGGAGCCTGCTTCTCTCTCTCTCTCTCTCTCTGCCTGCCTCTCCATCTACTTGTGATCTCTCTCTGTCAAATAAATAAATAAAATCTTAAAAAAAAAAAAAGAAAAGAAAAGCAATGAGAAAAGATACCTACTCTGAAAAAGGCATCAGTTCCATAAGAAAACTGAGAAAAAAAAGGCTATTTGGCTATTCCCACTGCAGTGATAACACCCTAAAATTTTTGTTTGTCTACAAAGGAGAAATCTGTGCTCCATCTAGGTTTCAATTAGGCACAAACTGGATGACATGACTTTCTTCTAGTTTCTAGACATCACTTTCTTCTAGTTTCCCTTCCCTGAAGCCACAGTGGTTTCCCCATGTATTATCTCACATCGGGCATCTTGGAAAAATCTAAACAGGAATTTAAATTGGTAATTAACTGAAATATATGACTAACTGGCATCCCCAACATGCAGAATGTACTTTACAGACTACCAAGTGTTTAAGGTCTAGCAACTGGGATATTTATTTGTATCAACACTTTTTGGTTAGAGGTGCACCATTCAATTCTGCAGCCATTAGGCACACACACAGCTTTTAAAAATTAAATTAAAATTAGATATTCACTTCCTCAGCAGCACAATTTTTCAAGTACTCAATAGCCATGCAACTGCTGTTACATGCATACAGACTGAGCATTTTCATCTTCCCAGAAAATCCTCTCAGACAGCACTGGTTTATAGAGTACAGGTATCCCCTGCTTTTCAAGAGTTCCTATTATGCCACTTTGCTTTTATGAAAGACCTCTATTAGTACCTGTTTTTGCTAACCATAAGAAATCCAAAGAGAAGGGCTCTTCTTCTTCTGGGTGGCTCAGTCTTTAAGCGTCTGCCTTCTGCTCAGGTCATGATCCCAGCCCTGCACTAGGCTCCCTCCCTGCTCAGCGGGAAGCCTGTTTTTCCCTCTCCCACTTTGTCTGCTTGTGTTTCCTCTCTCACTGTGTCTCTATCTGTCAAATAAATTTAAAAATCTTTTAAAAAAAGGGGGGGGGATTTTCACTTTTCTAAAATAAGTGAAAAGATACAGTATTCAGCATTTGTTTTGCACAGAAACATCATAGAAGCAAGAGTACACGGAGGCAGGGCGAGCAGCATCACCAAGCTCCTTCCCCTGGGAATGATACTCAGCATCAAGCTTCCATCACTTTGAGATGTGTTTGTCTGTGGGTATCTGTGCTCTATCTTGATTTACTTTGTGCATTCATTAGCAACATCTGTCCTAAGGTATCAGAAAAACCTAAGAAAAGTTATTTTTTGAGTCTGGGAACGTGAAAACAATTTTCCAAATAAATTACTGGTAGTTGGGGTGCCTGGGTGGCTCACTGGGTTAAAGCCTCTGCCTTCAGTTCAGGTCATGATCCCAGTGTCCTGGGATAGAGCCCCCAGTCGGGCTCTCTGCTTTGCAGGGAGCCTGCTTCCTCCTCTCTCTGCCTGCCTCTCTGCCTACTTGTCATCTCTGTCTGTCAAATAAATAAAAATAAAATCTTAAATAAATAAATAAATAAATTACTGGTAGTTACTTCTTTGCTTTATACCTTTTGGCTTACAAAATGTTTTTGTTAGAATGCTCTACTTTTGGGGGGCGCCTGGGTGGCTCAGTGAGTTAAAGCCTCTGCTTTCAGCTCAGGTCATGATCCCAGGGTCCTGGGATGGAGCCCTGCATCGGGCTCTCTGCTCAGCAGGGAGCCTGCTTCCTCCTCTCTCTCTCTGCCTGCCTCTCTGCCTACTTGTAATCTCTGTCAAATAAAATAAATAAAATCTTAAAAAAAAAAAAAAGAATGCTCTACTTTTGGATAGTGAGGGAAACCTGGATATAGTTTTCCCATTACACCTCTCGAGGAAAATATACATAGATGTACTGGTTTACCAAGTGCTAAACATCCCCAAATTAGAATTTGCACTTTTGGCAACTACTTGTAAAAGAATTACATGACAACTGCAAAAACACTGGGTTTACCACATTAAAGAGTGAATCTTTAAAATAATGAAGTAGGGGTGCCTAGGTAGCTCAGTTGGTTGAGCATCTTCCTTTGGCTTGGGTCATGATCTCAGGGTCCTGGGATTGGGCCTTGCATCGGGCTCCCTGCTCAGCGGGGAACCTGCTTCTCCCTCTCCCTCTGCCTGCTGCTCTGCCTACTTGTGCTCTCTCTCTACCTCTTTCAAATAAATAAAGTCTTTAAAAAATTAAAAAAAAATAAAACAGTGAAGTAACAATCACTTTTAAATTAGAAACTTCTCTGCCTTAATACTTGTTACCCAAATGTCCTTCAATTGATAAACAAAATATGGTATACTGAAAAAATACAAAGTTAATCAGTCATAAAAAGGATACTAATAGGGGCGCCTGGGTGGTTCAGTGGGTTAAAGCCTCTGCCTTCGGCTCAGGTCACGATCCCAGGGTCCTGGGATTGAGCCCCGCATTGGGCTCTCTGCTCAGCGGGGAGCCTGCTTCCTCCTTTCTCTCTCTCTGCCTGCCTCTCTGCCTACTTGTGATCTCTGTCAAATAAATAAAATCTTAAATATATATATATATATATATGCTAAAACATGGATGAATCTTGAAAACACTGTGCTAAGTTAAGGAAGCAAGACATAAAAGGCATATACAGAACAATTCTATTTAGATAAACTATCCAGAAAGATGAACTCACACAGATAGAAAGCAGACTAAGGGTTCTTAAGCGGATGACAAGAGGTTGCAATGGGGAGTGATGGCTAATGGGCACGGGATTTCTCTTTAGGGTGACGGAAATGTTCTAAAATTAGACATGATGGTTGAACAACTCTGTAAATATACTACAAACCACGGAACCGTACACATTAAAAGGGTAAATTTTATGGTATGTTAGTTAAATCTCAATAAAGCTATTAAAAAAATTTCTGCTAATAATCAAGTTAATGCATCTCTGAAAGGATTCTATCATAGTTTGGCAAAGACTTTAAAAGACTCAAAGTTAGTAAAGAGGTGGAAAAACAAAAATTCCCATTCACCGCTATAGAGAACATACTCTGGAACATGCTTTCTGAGAGTGATTTGATAATATATACAATGCTTAAAAACAGAGATATCCCAGGGGTGCCTGGGTGGCTCAGTGGGTTAAGCCACTGCCTTCGGCTCAGGTCATGATCTCAGGGTCCTGGGATTGAGTCCCTCATCGGGCTCTCTGCTCAGCGGGGAGCCTGCTTCCCTCTCTCTCTCTCTCTGCCTGCTTCTCTGCCTACTTGTGATCTCTCTCTGTCAAATAAATAAATAAAATCTTAAAAAAAAAAAAAAAAGAAAAACAGACACCCCTACCAAAAATAAAAAAATAAGTAAATAAAAACAGTATCTCTTTGACTTAATACTTTCAGGAAAAACTGGATAAATGAACAAAAAAGCATATATAAAGTTTTTTTATCTTTATTTATTTTTTAAAGATTTTACTTCTTTGTCAGAGAGAGAGAGAGAGAGAGAGAGAGAGAGCGCGTGAGCGAGAGAGAACACAAGCAGGGGGTAGGGTCAGGCAGAGGGAGAGCAAGGAGCCCTACCCAGAACTTGATCCCAGGACTCAATTGAGCCACCTAGCCATCTCGACTGCAGTTTTTTAAATGGTGAAAACCTGAAGCCAACTTTAAAGATAATAGGGGGAGGGGGGTGATTAAAAAACTATCCTATATTGGGACTCAGTTAGTAGAGCATGCAAATTTTGATCTCAGGGTTATGAGTTCAAGCCCCACGTTGGGTGTAGAGATTACTTTAAAATTAAAAAAAAAAAAAAACTTAGTAAGTTTGGAAAAAATAGGTACATCAAACTCAAGAGTAATCATCTCTGGGTAATAGATAATTTACTTAATTTCTACACTTTTGATTGTTTAGAACTTCTTTTACAGAAAGTATATATAAAATTGTGAAATGTATTTATATGTATTTATGTATTTATATGGTAAATGTATTTTTATATGGTAACTGGGAAATTCAAAAAATCAAGCAAAGAAGAATTTATAAAGAGGAGAAAGTATGCCCTCAACCCCACAAAATCCTTTTACTAGAAGTAGTCATTAGGAACACTATGATCCTTTCAGAGCTTTTTGTTGATATATATAAATATAAAGCATAAATAAAATTTTTATTTTTCTCAAAAGTGGGATCACATAAAATACACTGTTATGTGACTTGAATCTTTTTACCTTTTTTTTTTTTTAAGATTTTCTTTATTTATGACAGAGAAAGAGAGCAAGAGAAGAAACACAAGCATGGGGGAGCTGGAGAGGGAGGAGGCGGCTCCCCTTGGAGCCAGGAGGCTTGATCCTAGGACAATGGGATCATGACCAGAGCTTTAAGGCAGACACTCAATGACTGAGCCATCCAGGCACCCCTTGAATCTTTTTACTTAATCGTATATCTGGATATAACTTGTTCTGTGTTAGTATGTGTATATTTACATTACTCTTCTTAAGCATTGCATAGTATTCCATGTTACTGTTTACATTACTTTTTTAATCAGAAAAAATAAACCTATTTCTGTTCAACAAACAAAACAAAACTTAAGGAACTATGCAACCCATTAGTCTTGAGTGCCCCCTACTGGGGGCTCTTCCTTGGTATTAACAGAATGCTAAATTACAAATTAATACAAGAAATAATTCAAACACAGGACACTATGCTTTTCAGCATATGGCAAAAAAAAAAATCTAAAAACTCAAAAGAAAAGATACATGTTTTGAAATGATTTTATCGAGGAGTTCTTTATGTACTTAGGCTGAATTACAGGTATGTGCTAAGGACTCTAATTTTCTAAGGAAAATCAAGTTAGGTGGCTTGATCTTTTCCCATCTTCCTCCTGAACAGGTGTGTGTATTGAATGTGTGAGAGGTGACATGGGGTTGCAGAGTGGAAAGTGATGGCAAATAGGCAGTTAAAAAAAAAGCTTGTTACAAAAAAAAAGTCGTGACCTCACTCCTTTTTGTCTTGTCACTTCCAACTTATCTTTATATCTAACCTCACATTTCAAATCTAGAAGAGTTAGCTCTACCTTCAAACATCTAGGTTGTTCACACTATGTAATTTTTCTATCTTCTGAGTCTGTGATTACACAACATGTATTTTAGTATATGTGCTGCTGAAGCTAGTACCATACAACATGTAATAATTAAAGACCCAGAATAAAAGAAAATGGGGACATTAGAAGAGCTTACCTGAAAAACAACAAATATATTTAGGTAAATAAAACCCAACATTGCAATTATCAAAGGTGGCATTTCTTTATCAAACAAGTCCATTTTAAAATATGGTATCTTGGGCGCCTGGGTGGCTCAGTGGGTTAAGCCGCTGCCTTCGGCTCAGGTCATGATCTCAGGGTCCTGGGATTGAGTCCCGCATCGGGCTCTCTGCTCAGCAGGGAGCCTGCTTCCCTCTCTCTCTTTCTGCCTGCCTCTCTGTCTACTTGTGATCTCTCTCTGTCAAATCAATAAATAAAAAAATCTTAAAAAAAAAATAAAATAAAATAAAAATAAAATATGGTATCTTGATTATGCTTGTTATATTCTAGGAAAACTGATACACAACACTTATGACTGGAATTAATTTTTCCTAAAAGTAAAACAAAAACTACATTCAAAACTGTGTCTGTATTATGTGCTTTTAGTCAAATTCTATTTAGCTATTTCTAGACATTAATATTTTATACAAGCTTGACTTTATTATAAAATTCTCTTGGCTAATAATACTTACAGCTAATCTGTGGCTATTTGCAAGGCTGATCATTTGCTGGGCTAGGCCATTTAGTAATCGAGTACGAAGGGCTAGGTCATCTAGGTCATGACGAAAAGGAAAAGCAATACCATCCACTATCACTAATCGAACCTAAATACAGAAGAGATAATGAAATTAGGTTTGGTATTAAAATAAAATTTTAAAAAATGGCATCCCAAAAGCATGTTCATTGCAGGAAAAAAAAAATCTATAAAATCCAGAGTTCTATTTCTAACTCTCCAAAATAAATCTATTCACCCAACGCTTTCTGCATTAATCACCAAAAGTTAAAATGTACTCTGGTTTGATAATTTATAAACTTGAAAAAGTAATTCAACGTGAAGAAGCAATTATAATTTTCTTATACTTTACCACTATACACAATCTTTACAGAGGCATTTTACACCAATAAAAAGCACTTCTGAAGTCTTAGTAAAATAAATTCTTCAGTATTTCAATTTTACCTTCAAGATTTTTTATGTTTAAAAAACTCTTCAAATATTAAATTATTATATCATCTTCAAAAACTTCAAATTCTAATGGTGAGTGCTATGAAGAGTGTAAACCTGTCAATTCACAGACCTGTACCCCTGGGGCTAGTAGTACATTATATGTTAATAAAAAATTAAAAATTAAACAAAAAACTTCAAATTCTTGGTATACTTTTTCTCCTTAATTTTAAACATAAGGGAACTAATCATTATAGAATCTGCTATAAGAGAGAATTCAGCATAAGGCAGCTTTGTCTTGAATTCCAATCAAGAAGGTTCACTTAGAGATGACAAACATTTTCATGACAGTTTCACTTCTAATATAATCCAAATAATGGCTCCTAAAGTGAAGCTAGAGTAATATATAAACTTCACTCCAAGAACAAACAGAATTTGGAAACTAATCCAAATATAAACAAACAAAAAAACCCATCCTGTAAGATTATATATTTTTCTATCTAATAGGGATTAGACTAAAGAAGAGGATTTGATAACACCATGTCTAAGTAACCCATTTTTGTATCTTTTATTTAAAGTATTCATTCCTTCATTCAGCATGTGCTTACTGATACCTACTATACGTTAGTCATTGTTGCAGGCAGCAGGGAACAAGAGAAAAGGTCCTTGCTTTCTTGGAGTTTATGGAGTGGAGTAAAGGACAATTAACATGTAAACAAACACAGAAATAATTTCTGATAATGATAGGAGTTATGAAGAAACGAAACTGGGTAAAATGATGATGAATAAGTAGGTAATAAAGTAGAGGGAGGCTAACTTAGACTAGTGTCAGGGAAGGAGTCAATGAAAAGGGAGGCAACAGAACTGAGTCCTGGATAAGGACCTCTAGGAGTAGGGGCACCTGGGTGGCTCAGTGGGTCAACCCTCTGCCTTCGGCTCAGGTCGTGATCCCAGGGTCCTGGGATTGAGCCCCACATCGGGCTCTCTGCTCAGCAATGAGCCTGCTTCCCTGCTCTCTCTCTGCCTACTTATGATCTCTGTCAAGTAAATAAATAAAATCTTAAAAAAAAAAAAAAGAATACAAGTAAATGTAACTACATATCTAAAACTCAGCATTAATGTACTTTTGGTTTGTAACCCCTCTTCTTTTCTTACATGATTCAAAAGACAACTATTAAAAAATAATTATAAATCTATATTGATGGGCGTACAATGTATAAAGATATAATCTGTGACAATAACATAAAGGGGGATAAATGGAGCTATACACCAACAAGGTTTTTGTATACTGTTGAAATTAATTTAGTATTAATTTAAACTACACTGCTATGAATTAGGATGTTAATTCTAATTCCCCAGGACAACTAAGAAAATAACTAAAAAATATATGATAAAAGAAATGAGAAGGGAATCAACATGGTACTATGGAAAATATCTAACAAAAAAGAAAGCAGGAATGGAGAAATTGAGAAATAAGATACAGATCCTCCTCAACTTACATCAGGGCTACATTCCAATAAACCCACACCAAGTCAAAAATATTAAGCTGAAAATGCATTTAATACACTTAACCTACCAAACATCATAGTTTAGTCAAGCCTAACTTAAATGTACTCAGAAAACTTACATTAGCCTACATCTGGGCAAATCATTTAACAAAAAACCTATTTTATAATAAAGCACTGAATATTTCATGTAATTCACTGAATACTGTACTGAAAGTGAAAAACAGAATGGTTATATGGGTACAGAATGGTTGTAAGCCTATTGCTTGTTTATCCTCATGATTGCATGGCTGACTGAAACCTGTGGCCCACTGCCACTGTCCAGCATCATGAGAGAGTACTGGTACCAAGTATCACTAGCCTAGGAAAAGATCAAAATTCAATGTACAGTTTTAACTGAATATGTATCATTTTTGCACCATTATAAAATTAAAAACTTAGGGCGCCCACGTGGCTCAGTGGGTTAAACATCTGCCTTGGGCTTAGGTCATGATCCCGGGGTGCTGGGATTGAACCCTGCATCAGGTTCTCTGCTCAGCGGGGAGCCTGCTTCTCCCTCTCCCTCTGCTGCTCCGCCTGCTTGTGTGTGCACATGCACTGTATCTCTCTCTGACAAATAAAATCTTTAAATATAATAAATAAAATAAAATTTAAAAACTTGTAAGTCGAATTATCCCAAGTCAGAGATTTAGGCATAGAACTGGCAGAACAGGGACGCCTGGGTGGCTCAGTTGGTTGGACGACTACCTTCGGCTCAGGTCACGATCCTGGAGTCCCAGGATCGAGTCCCGCATCGGGCTCCCGGTTCCGCGGGGAGTCTGCTTCTCTCTCTGACCTTCTCCTCACTCATACTCTCTCTCTCTCTCTCTCTCAAATAAATAAATAAAAATCTTTAAAATAAAAAAAATAAAAAAAGAACTGGCAGAACAGATTTTTTAAAATGATCTAATTATAGACTTTCTACGAGAGACTTGGTTTAGATCCAAAGATACAAACCAGTGGGGCACCTGGCTGGCTCAGTTGAAGGAGCATGCAACTCTTATCTCGGGGTAATGAGTCTCAGCCCCACACTGGGTGTAAATATTACTTGAATAAATAAAACTTAAAAACAAAACAAAGATACAAATAAGAGTGTAAGGATGGAAAAAGATACTCCCTTACAAACAGTAACCTGAATAGAGCTGTAGTGGCTATACTAATATCAGACAAAATAGACTTCAAGTGAAAACTTGTTACAAGAGATGAAGAAGGGTAAAAATAAATAATTTATATAATATGAAAATTGTATAATAATAAAAGGCTCAATTCATCAAGAAGATACAGCAATTATATGCTGAGATGGCAACTGCAGAACCTCCTCCCAGTTGCTCCCCAGCATCCTGACTAACCCACCACCTCTCTGCTCACCAATGAAGGTTGACCCATGAAAAAGAAAAAAAGAGGGGTGCCTGGGTTAAGTCGTTAAGCATCTGCCTTCAGCTCAGGTCATGATCCCAGGGTCCTGGGATAGAGCCCCACACTGGGCTGCCTGCTCAGTGAGGCGCCTGCTTCTCCCTCTCCCACTCCCCCTGCTTGTGTTCCCTCTCTCTCTGTGTCAAATAAATAAATAAAATCTTTAAAAAAAGAAAAGAAAAGAAAAGAAGAGAAAAGAAACAGATATATAAAACGCTCCACTGAAGAGCAGAATATACGTTCTTCTCAAGTGCATATGGAACATTTTCCGGGATAGACCTAGATGTTGGGCAACAAAATAAGTCTCAATAAACGTATAAACATGGAATCATATATAGAGTATTTCTCCGACCACAATGGAACAGAATTAGAAGCCAGCATCAGAAGAAAATTTGGAAAATTCATAGATATGTGGAAATTAAACAACACACTTTTTTTTTTTTTTTTTAAAGTAATCTCTATACCCAACATGGGGCTCAAACTCAAGACCCCAAGAGCACCTGGCTGGCTCAGTCAGAAGAGCATGTGACTCTTGATCTTGGGATCATGAGTTCAAATCTCACATTGGGTATAGAGATTACTTAAATAAATTTTAAAAAACAAACCAAAAAACCCCCAAATAACAACAACAAAAGACAAACAACAACAACAACTCTGAGATCAAGAGTCACATGCTCTTATCAACTAAGCAAGCCAGGTAACCCTAAACAACACATTCTTAAATAATGAATGAGTCAAAAGACATTACAATGAAAATTAGAAATACTTAAAAATTAATGAATATAAAAACACAACATACCAACTTATAAAATACAGTGTAAGTAGTGCTCCATAGGAAATGTAGAGCTCTAAACAACTATATTTTGAAAGAAAGATCAGTCGGTCTCGATATCCAAAACTTATACCTTAAGGAACTTGAAAAAAGAAGAACAAACTAAACTCAAAGAAGGCAAAATAAAAGAAGTAATAAAAATTAAGTGGAGGGGCGCCTGGGTGGCTCAGTGGTTTAAAGCCTCTGCCTTCGGCTCGGGTCATGATCCCAGGGTCCTGGGATCGAGCCCCACGTCGGGCTCTCTGCTCAGCGGGGAGCCTGCTTCCTCCTTTCTCTCTCTCTCTCTCTCTGCCTGCCTCTCTGCCTACTTGTGATCTCTGTCTGTCAAATAAATGAATAAAGTCTTTAAAAAAAAAAATTAAGTGGAGATGGGGTGCCTAGGTCACTCAGTCACCGGGCATCTGCCTTAGGCTCAGGTCATGATCCTGGAGTCCTGGGAGATAGCCCCACATCAGGCTCCCTACTCAGCAGGGGACCTGCTTCTTCCTCTCCAGCTCTCTGTGCTTGTGTTCCCTCTCTCACTAGCTGTGTCAAATAAAATCTTTTTTTAAAAATTCAGTAGAAATAATCAAAACAAGAAAGAAACAATGAGGAAAATGGATAAAATCCAAAGTTGATTCTTTGAAAAGATCAACAAAACTTACCTTTAAACTAACAGAAAAAGACTTGGGCAGCTGGATAGCTCAGTCGGTTAAGCATGGAATCCTGATTTCAGCTCAGGTCATGATCTCATGATCGAGGGACTGAGACCCCTATTGGGCTCTGGACTCCAGGCTCTCCACTCAACAAAGAGTCAGCTTGAGATTCTCTCCTCTCCCTCTGCCCCTCCCCCTGCTCGCACCCACCCTTTCTCCCTCTCTCTCTTTCAAACAAATAAATCCTTTTTAAAAAGAGAGAAATGACTCAAATTACTCAAATCAGGAATGAAAATGAGGACATTATACCAACCTTATAGAAATAAAAACAAACAAAATGTAAAGAACATTCATATGCAAAAAAATTAGATAACCTGGGTAAAGTGAACAAATTCGTTGCAATACACAAACTATCAAAACCGACTGAAGAAGAAATAGAAAATCTGAATGGATCTGTAACAATGGAGAGATTGAATCAGTAATCAAAAGCCTTCCAACAGTTAAAAAAAAAAAAAAAAAGACCAGGACCAGAGAACTTCACTGGAGAATTTTTTTTTTAAGTAGACTCTACCTCCAATGTACGGCTTGAATTCATGACCATGAGATCAAGAGTGACATGACCCTTCACTGGCAAATTTTATAAAACATTTAAAGAATTTACACTAGGAATGCCTGCATGGCTCAGTCAGCTAAGCGTCTGCCTTTGGCTCAGGTCATGATCCCAGGATCCTGGGACAGAGTCCCAAGCCCCAGATCAGGCAACCTGCTTAGCAAGGAGTCTGCTTCTTCCTTTCCCTCTGCTCCTCCCCTTGCTTGTACACTCTCTCTCTTTCTCAAATAAATAAATAAATAAAAAGAATTTATACCAATTCTTCTCAAACTTTTCCAAAAAACAGAGGGAATACTTCTTAATTCATTCTATGAAGCCAGTATCATACTGATACCAAAGCTAGATAAAGACATCACCGGTAAAGAAAGCTACAGACCAATTACAGATGCAAAAATCCTCAACAAAATACTACCAAATGGAATCCTGCAGCATATTAAAAGGATTTATATAATAATGTCTGGCCAAAGTGGACTCTCAATAAATATTTGGTGAATAAATAAATGTGCAAGCCAAAAAAAAAAAAAAAAGCAGAACTATATTCTCATTTTCTTTTAGTGATGAAAGAAATGCTGGACAATTATTTCAAAATTTATAACCCAGTAATTCATCTCGTAGAAATATATGAAATACAGTGGTATATTAATTAAATTTAATTGAATTACGAGGCACCTGGCTGGCTCAGCGAGTGGAGCATGTGACTCTTATCACAGGATTGAGTTTGAACCCCATGTTGGGTGTCAAGATTACTTAAAAATAAAATCTTTTTTTTTTTTAAGAATTTATACGATGGTTAAATCCACAGATTCAATAGAATCTCTATCAAAATTCCAACCGCATTTCTGTAGAAATAAACAAGACTCCACTCATATGGATCGAATTCAGATGAAATTGCAAGGAGCCCTGAATAGCCAAAACAGTCTTGAAAATAACAACGTTGGAAGACACATGTCCCAATTTCAGAATATACTATGAAGCTACTAATCAAAACCATGTGATACTGGCAAAGAACAGAGATATACATTAATAGAGTCCAGAAATTAACCCACACATTTATGGTCAACGGATTTTCAACAAGGATGCCAAGCCCATTCAATGGGGAAAGAATAGTCTTTTCAGTAAATGGTGCTGGAACAACTGGGTGTCTGCATACAAAATGAAGTTGGACACTTACTTCACTTACTTTATACTTATATATAAAAAATTAACTCAACATGGGCCAAAGTCCAAATTAAAAAGCTAAAGCTATTGAACTGGATGGAGTTCAGGACATGCTACTCCAAAATTTGGTACCTTGGCATACTGAGTATCCTTTTAACTATTTATCTGGAAGAGAGCACGAGCATGCACATGCGTGCAAGGGGCAGAGTGAGAAAGAGAATCTTAAGCAGGCTCCATGCCCAGTGCCTGATGTGGCTTGATTCTCTTTCTCCCTCTGCCCCTTGCACTCACACTCTCTCTAAAAAAAAAAAAAAGTCACACACTTCAATACGACTGAGCCAACCAGGCACCCTTAAAGTGGGTTTTTTGTAGTCAACATATAGTTTCATCTTATTTTTTCATCCACTGACACAACCTTTTTGAAGGGCAGTATGTGTTTAACAAAAAAAAAGAAAAAGAAAAAAAAATTGGGGGACCTGGGTGGCTCAGTGGGTTAAGCCTCTGCCATCAGCTCAGGTCATGATCCCAGAGTCCTGGGATCAATCCCCGGGCTCTCTGCTCAGCAGAGAGCCTGCTTCCCCCTCTCTCTCTGCCTGCCTCTCTGCCTACTTGTGATCTCTCTGTCAAATAAAATCTTTAAAAAAAAAAGTCTCAGAGGAGGCTTACTGAAGTTTGGTCAAAGACAGTCTCTGTCATGTATAATATTTATCAAGATTAAACATTCACATACTCTTTAATATAATTCTAATACTTGGAATGGAACTTATCCCATAAACAGGGACACCTGGATGGCTCAGTTGGTTAAGCATCTGACTTCAGCTCAAGTCATGAACTCAGGTCCTGGGACGGAGCCCTGATCAGTGCTCAAGGGGAGTCCCTCTCCCTCTGCTCTTCCCTCAGCTCATGTTCACTTTCTCTCTCTCTCAAATAAATAAAATCTTAAAAAAAAAAAAAAAAAGAGTTTATCCCATAAACATACTTACAAATGAACCCCAAGGATTGTCTCCTTGGATGTAGGGATGTAGGGATTATCTCCAAACCACTGTTAATAGTATCTAAAAGACCACCAATAGGAGGATTAAACAAATTAAGGTACTGAGTCTCTCCCCCCCAATTTTTTTAATGTAGTAGAATACATAGAATATTCATCTTGTAACCTGAAATTCTATTTCCATTAAAAAATAACTGCCCATTTTCCCCTTCCCCCCTCAGGGCCTTGTAACCACCATTCTATTTTATGTCTGAGTCTGACTACTCTTCACACCTCATATAAGTAGAATCATACAGTGTATCTTTTTTTGACTGGCTTATTTCATTTAACATAATGTCCTCAAGATTCATCCAAGTTGTACCATATGTCAGAAATTCTTTTCTTTTTAAAGATGAATACTATTACATTGTGTGTGATACCACATTTTGCTTATCCATTCAATGGACACTTGGGTTGCTTCCACATTTTAGGTAATATGAATAATGCTGCTATGAACAAAGGTTTACAAATATCTCTTCAAGACCCTGTTTTCAATTTTTTTGGTAATAAACAGAGAAGTTGAATAGCTGGGTCACAGGGTAATCCTATTTTCAATTTTTTGAGGAACCACCATACGATTTTTTTGAGGAACCACCATACGATTTTTTTGAGGCAACTGTACCATTTTACATTCCCACCAACAGCAAAAGCACCTTCTTAAAATGAAATAATAGTAGCTGAAAAAAAAGAATGAAAAGGTTTATCCAGCAAAACACTAAGCAAAAACAGAAGGTGCAAAACCGAATTACAGTATTATCCCACTAACAAATACTAAAAATGAGTGGATAAATATTGCAACATGTATAAAAATTTTTTGAGAAGACACAAAAGAAACAGTGAATAGTGGTCAACTTTAGGGAGAGATACTAGGAAGCAGTAGAAAGGAAGTTTTTCCATTTTATACCTTTCTAAATAGTTTGTTAGAAGCTATTCCACCATTACTGGAGACAGAACATCTTTCTGTATTATTTCAATTTCTTACTTTGGGCATAAATTATATATGAATATATGTTAAACATGTATAAATGTAAAAATTGTGTATAAATTATAGGACAAGGAAGAAAGATTTTTGAACAGGCTTATGCCACACTATACTATTTACTTATTTTTCAAGCTAATCAAACACCTCCAAAGATATTCCAAAGGTTAGCTGTATTTCAGTAGTTTGAGCCATACCTTTGAGTGTTCTGAAAGGAAGTCTGGAAGGAGATAAACTTGTGCCAACAGCTCTGTATAGTCACGACAACGAAAATAGTAAATATGGGAAAGAATATTTTCCAGAGTGAAATCCTCCAAAGCTTTTGGGTGCTCTAGAATAAACAAAACAATCTTTAAATAAAGTAATCAGTTTTACTTGTTTTGATATATTGGTGATTGTAGGAAAACAATACATTTGAGTAACAAAATGCTTCACTGTGAATAAGAGAACTATTCACCTTAATTCAAAAATAAAAAAATTAAAACAAAATTAGTATAAACTACTACTGCATAATTCTTGACCTCTTATTTTCACCTTCTCCACTATTTCCTTACATGCTGGGGTATCTAGAAATTGTTTATACACATATAGAACTCGAGTTTTAAAGCCTACCTTTTCATATTTCTAGTTATTCACTTCCATTAAATAGAAGTAACATAATGGAGTTTCTCTTTTCTTGTTTTTTTTTTTTTTTAACTAGGACTGCAAATTAAGAGTTTAAAGGGAAAATGTTCAAAAGAAGCATCTTTTTCCCTTATGGTAACTTTTTCCCATTATTACTATAGCATAATTTGATATTTAAGTAGAAACAATGTAAGATTCTCCCTAGATTATATATTTTTTAAAAAACCAGTTTTGGGGGCACCTGGGTGGCTCAGTGGGTTAAAGCCTCTGCCTTCAGCTCAGGTCAAGATCCCAGAGTCCTGGGATTGAGCCCCTCGGGCTCTCTGCTTAGCAGGGAGCCTGGTTTCCTTCTGCCTGCCTCTCTGCCTACCTGTGATCTCTGTCTCTCTGTCAAATGAATAAGTAAGATCTTTAAAAAAAAAAAAGTTTTGGCAGGGTGCCTGAGTGGCTCAGTTGGTTAAGCATCCCACTCAATTTCGGCTCAGGTCATGATCTCAGGGTGTGGAGATGGACCTGCATCCAGCTCTGCACTCAGCAGGGAGTCTGCTTGAGATTCTCTCCCCCTACACCCCCTTGCTGGTGCTCTCTCAAATAAATAAATAAATAAATAAATCTTAAAAAGAAAAAATGGTTTGGTTTTATACATATTACAGAGAGAAACCAGTTTAAAATTACTGCACTTTAAAATGTCCTTAAGTTTTAACATTGAAAAAAAAAACCAAGAAATTAAATTTCAGAAAGCACTGCTTATTACAAATATAAAAGTTCATTTTTAACCAAAAAATAGTAACTTAATCACACAGCAATCACTAAAGACTTTATATCCCAGGGCTACACCTATAATATTCACAGTAAGGTTTTAAGACACTACTACAAATACACATTGTGACACGGGTAGCTTTAAGGCCTTTCAGTAGATATACTGGTCATTAGTTAAAAAGGACACCTAGGGGTACCTGGTGGCTCAGGTGGTTAAACATATGCCTTCTGCTCAGGTCATGATCCCAGGATCTTGGGATAGAGTACTGCATTGGGCTCCCTGCTCAGGAGGAAGTCGGCTTCTCCCTCTCCTCTACCCCTTACCACTGCTCGTGCTCGCTCGCTCACTCTGTCTCTCATTCTCAAATAAATAAATAAAATCTCTAAAAAAAAAATAAAAAGGGGTGCCTGGCTGGCTCAGTTGGTTACGCCACTGCCTTCAGCTCAAGTCATGATCCTGGAGTCTAAGGATCAAGTCCAACATCGGGTTCCCTGCTCAGTGGGGAGTCTGCTTCTCCCTCTGACCCTCTCATGCTTTCTCTCTCTCAAATAAAATATTTTTAAAAATAAAAATAAATAAAAAGGACACCAAGTACTCATATGAAAATTAAAATATCCAGCTATTACATTCATTTAAAGGGAATACAAGCATCTTATGAAAAGTATTGGTTTTTTTGCTTTTTTTTTTTTTAAGATATTGTTTATTTATTTGACAGAGACAGTGAGAGAGAGAACACAAGCAGGGTAAACAGGAGAGGGGAAGCAGGCTCCCCGCTGAGCAGGAAGCCCCACATGGTGCTCAATCCCAGGACCTTGAGATCATGACCTGAGTTGAAGGCAGACACTTAACGACTGAGCCACTTAGGCACCCCCAAAAGTATTGTTTTTTTTTTAAATTACTAAAGAATGAGGACGGGAGGGACGCCTGGGTGGCTCAGTTGGTTAAGCGGCTGCCTTCGGCTCGGGTCATGATCCCGGCGTCCTGGGATTGGGTCCCACATCGGGCTCCTTGCTCAGCAGGGAGTCTGCTTCTCCCTCTGTCTCTGCCTGCCACTCTTAGTCTGCCTGTGCTCACTCTCTGACAAATAAATAAAATCTTTAAAAAAAAAAAAAAAAAGAATGAGGACGGGACAACCAAAAAATAGACTAAAACAGTCAAACCAGAAACCATTTAATAGTAATTTAAAAAGCAAGAACTTAAATACCTTTGAGTATTTATTTAAATTGAAATCACCTTTATATGTTTTCTTAAAAAATCAAACAATAGTTCTACATGAGAAAAATAAAAAAAACTTAACACAGTCATGAAGTCTATTACATTCTACTCAGAACCCTCTAAAGTCAATCACCTTAATGTTCTAAATATTTCCAACATGGTTTTTCAAAGCTATCTTCAGTGGGAAACCTGGGTGGCTCATTCAGCTGGGCATCTGTGCTCAGCTCAGGTCATGATGCCAGGGTCCAGGGATCTAGGCCCCACCTCTGGTTCCCTGCTCAGCTGGGAATCTGCTTCTCCCTCTGAGCCTCCCTCCACTCGTGCTTGCTCTGGCTCTCTCTCTCAGATAGATAGATAAAATCTTAAAAAAAAAAAAAAAAAAAGAAGTAGTAGTAGTAGTAGTAGTAGTAGTAGTAGTAGTGAGGGCCATAAGAGAAGAAGAAAAGGGAAAAGGCCAGTCTAGGTTGTGGCATTTCTAAGTCTACAAGAAAGATCTGGGGCGCCTGGGTGGCTCAGTGGGTTAAAGCCTCTGCCTTCAGCTCGGGTCATGATCTCAGGGTCCTGGGATCGAGCCCCGCATCAGGCTCTCTGCTCAGCGGGAGCCTGCTTCCTCCTCTCTCTCTCTCTGCCTGCCTCTCTGCCTACTTGTGATCTCTGTCAAATAAATAAATAAAATCTTAAAAAAAAAAAAAAAAAAGATCTGAGAGTTTAACACCAGGACACTGTCGAGTCATTAAGATTCACGTTCCAAATTGTTTTCTGCTGAGGCTTGAGAGGAATGTTAATTACTTTTATTATAGAGAAAGGATCACTTGCTAACTTACCCCCTCCCATATGTGTTTCTGCTGTAAGGTGAAGGTGCTGAATGCAGGCAGTAGCAAGGTCTACCACTCTATCAACCATAAAACTTCCTTCAGTATCAATAAAAACTGCTTCACCTTCCACTCCTCCAAAACATTCTGGTATCTGCACATCTACTGCCAACTGCATACTGTCAAGAGAAAGCTGAATGACCAAATCATTATCATAATCATCTCAGGCAGTGTTTTCAAACTCCACATCACCACCCATTAGGTACCACATTAGGCAACAGATATGGCTAACTTTCTGCTCCAAATATATGTGAATCAACTGATAACTTGGATTAGGGGGAGGGTGTACCCATAAAACCATGACTAAGGACTTTTTTAGTGGTTTTTAGGTCTTTGGGAATTAAACCCTTCCTCATACTAAACCTACCTTCAAATATATCCTCAGGAATTAATATAAAAAAATACAATAAATATATGTATTATAATACACACATATAAAATACATTATAATAAATACAACATTCATATTTTATACTACGTTATATATATTATGTAATAAAAATATAATAAAATAGAAGACCACCTGTTTACCCTAATGATCACATTACAATGTTGCAAAAGAAACATTTTCGGATACCAAAATAATTATACCAATTCAAAGATGCAGTACTGAAGTAACACAAATGGTAAACTGATTTTTTTGTGTGCATGCATACACACACAAAAAAATAAGAGCACATACATGCATTTTTGGGCTCCTGAATGTAGACCCACAGCACCATATTCTATTACTTACATAAAATGTCATTAAGCCTACCCTTAAGAAGAGAACATTTTACTTTACCATAATTGTGTTTTTCCAACACCTGGTACACCACAAATTTCTGTTGTTTTGGTTAAGGGTATTCCACCCCCAAGAATATTATCTAGTGCTGAACAGAAGGTAATTATGAAGCTCTGGGTATGCTCCTGCTCAAGAAGTTCCAGTGCTGTACACTTCTTGCCTGACTCAGCTGTAGCAGTGTATCTTGGTTTAATTGTAAGACATTCTCTTCTTAAAATCTGCAGAGTTTCTAAGGCTTCCTCTTTAGATATCCCAACTTCTGAAAGTAAAAGAAGAAAAACAAAAAAACAAAGCAAAACCTCGAACCCTGATTTTAGAAATTTAAAAGTCTTTTTTTTTCTTTAAATATTTTATTTATTGATTTGACAGAGAGAGATCACAAGTAGACAGAGAGGCAGGCAGAGAGAGAGAGAGAGAGAGGGAAGCAGGCTCTCTGCTGAGCAGAGAGCCCGATGCGGGGCTCGATCCCAGGACCTTGAGATCATGACCTGAGCCGAAGGCAGCGGCTTAACCCATTGAGCCACCCAGGCGCCCCAGAAATTTAAAAGTCTTAACATGCTTTTGGGTTGTCTTTATTAATTTTAATTTTTAGATAAGAGTGATGCCAAGAGTAAAGAAAAATAAAAATAAAACATTCCATTAACTATTGAATTTTTCAAGTTAATAAAGGCATTTATCTATATTTTCTTAGCATTTACATACTTAAAGGATCTATTTATTACCTCAAAAACAGAATTCAGAAATCTAAACCTCTAAAGCATTTGAGTACCTACAAGAGTATCTCAGGAAGTAGAAATAAAAATGTACTGGCAAGGGGTGCCTTGGAGGCTCAGTTGGTTAAGTGTCTGCCTCCAGCCAAGTATGAGGCTCCCTGCTCAGTGGAGAGTCTGCTTCTTCCTCTCCCTCTGCTGCTCACCCTGCTTGTGCTCTCAAATAAATAAATAAAATCTTTACTTCAAAAAAAAAAAAACAAACTGGCAGTCAGTCCTTTTACTATCTCTTTTGGTTTTATGAAGTCATAGTTTTTTTTGTTTCTTTGTTTTTAAGATTTTATTTATTTATTTCATAGAGATCACAAGTAGGCAGAGAGGCAGAAGCAGGCTTCTGCTGAGCAGAGAGCCATACTCGGGCTAGATTCCAGGACTCTGGGATCAAGACCCAGGCTGAAGGCAGAAGCTTTAACCCACTGAGCCACCCAGGCACCCTTGAAGTCACAGTTATTTTGATCTAATAAGGCATCTAAATTACTTTTCAGAAGAGAATGAAAATGGCCTCTAACTGCCTAAAACAAGATTTAACTTTAGGAAGTGCATGTGCATGTATTATTCATAATAAAAACTTTTCATAGAAACACTATCATGAAAAATTCACATATCACTCCAAGCTTTTTAATGAGAACAATTATTTGATGCACAAATATTTTAAATAATACACTTACGGGGGCGCCTGGGTGGCTCAGCGGGTTAAGCCTCTGCCTTTGGCTCAGGTCATGATCTTGGGGTCCTGGGATCGAGCCCCACATCAGGCTCTCTGCTCAGCAGGGAGCCTGCTTCCCTCTCTCTCTGCCTCTCTCTCTGCCTACTTGTGATCTCTGTCAAATAAATAAAATCTTAAAAAAAAAAAATACACTTCCGCTTCCTCAATTATACAATTTTATTCCTATCAAACAATACGGCTTGAGAAGAGAAAATGGCCATTTACAAAACAAGCTGTTAATGAAAGGAATAATGAAAGGCAAGGGTGAAGGGCACCTGGGTGTTTAGTGGGTTAAGCCTCTGCTTTCCTCTCAGGTCAAGATCTCAGGGTCCTGGAATGGAGCCTCGAGTTGGGGGGGGGGGGACTCTGCTCAGCAGGGAGCCTGCTTCGCACTCTCTCTGCCTGCCTCATTGCCTACTTGTGATCTCTGTCAAATAAATAAATAAAATCTTTAAAAAAAAAAAGTGAGGGTGACATCACTTATGAGTTTGATAGGGCAGTGCCTGATTTGGTTAGGATATGAGTATAAATTTGGCACTAATAAAAGACAATAATGGTGATAAGGAAATGAAAATCCTATCCAGTAAAAAGCAGAAACTCTGGAGTCAGATTCCTTGGGTTTGTAAACCCTGACTGAATCACTCATTATGAAGTTACTAAGTAAGGATGAATTACTTTTTTTTTTTTTTTTTTTTTGCCTCATATCTTTCCTTCTGTAAAACGGGAATGAGACAATACATGTTGAATAGCTGGGTAGAATACTCAGGCCATCCAAAATGCTCTGTAACTGTTAGCTATCATTATCATGCAGATTCTCTCATTTATTTTCTGTAAAACCAACTTGTTGAAAGACAAAGAGCGCATCAAGCTTTGGGGGACAGGGGTGCCTGGATGGGGTTCAGTCGGATAAGCGACTGCCTTCTGAAGCTCAGTTCATGATTCCAGGGCCCCATATCTGGCTCCCTGCTTCTCCCTCTCCCTCTGCAGCTGCTTGTTCTAACAAATAAAAATTTTAAGCACACAAAAACGCTGGGAAACAGTATGCAGTGTAAGACTTAACATTGGGTCTACAACATTTATTCTTTAATGGTGAGTTGAAACCTCCTTATTTTCCATTGTTAATGGCAAGGACTTAAAATGTTGCCCTATCTTAAGAGCGGTTCTGAGCATACCCTCGTGTAATGCGTACAGGGAGACTGGCCGCAGACAGTTTCATTTTTGTATTCCTCATGATTCAGAGGTTCCCACCAATGTATAATCTACAGTGCTCTGAAATGAGAGGTTTGGGATTTCTCGTTTCATTTTTCCAGCGAATTACAGGAGAGAAGCAATGTCTTCTTTTTGTTGCTTTCTCCAGGTGCTGGGGATTCTGCTCCCTTTCTTGCCTCTAGTCCTATCAGGAATCCTTCATTTCTCAAATGTAATCCCTTTGCCCCTTGGATTCTGGAACAGCTAACACTAAACCAGCTGTCTGGGTACCAATCCTAGCTCCACCTTTCCTAGCCCAGTCATCACGAAAAGTAACTTAACCACCTGTTCCTTCATCAGCCTACTGGACATAATAATCCACGTTAACAGGGTTCTTTGGGGTAATAAATTAGCTAGTCCTCAAGAGGATTCAGCAGGCACGGGTAGAGAAAGCAATTACTGAATGTTTTCAGGACCACAGCCCTAACCATCACAAGTTTAATTGGATTCAAGGAGCGGTTTCACGTCGCAAATGCAGCCTCGGGCGGAGGAAACTGGCGGAAAGTGGGTGGAAGCCTGAAGGCGGAAGAACCGAGATGGAGGCGGCACAGACGGAGGTCCGTGTGCCTCAACTTGCCATCAGAAGTCGTTACCTTTGCTGAGCTCGGACGGTTTCATCTCTAGGAGTTCCTCAGCAGTCTGGAAACCTGAAGACACCAGCTTCACCCGCACCGCTGGGGACAGCGGGAAACTCACTAAATCCCGCTGCATTTCAAAGCCGGACGCCTACGCGTATCCAGAGCAGCAAGCCCCAGCCCCAACTCCGTTCGCCAGCCCGCGCGCGCCACGTGACGTCAGACGTAAGGCGGAAGGGGCGGTGTCTCTGGCCTGACTGCACGCGGCCTTGGACTTGGCCCCTCTCGGGAGGAGTATTTTCTTGTGTCTGTACCATTTCTGTTGTGATTCTTACGAGTCCCATTTAGTGTTTCACCACCAAACATTAAACCTGACAGTAAAAAGATGGGTGGAGACCGCAAGATGAAGAGCCAGGCCCTACACACTACATCTCCACACCTCAATCCTGGCCTGTTGGGTGGAACCTCAAGGTTATTAGTAAGAATGATCTACTCCCAGCTAGGGGCAACGCACACACCAGCCAGTTACCGGTTTGGCGTATGAAACGGTCATATAAGAATTATTGGGCGTCTCCATTACAGGGTTCCAGTTTCCTATGTTTTCTCCTCGGGTATCCCCTTTGCCTTCCCCCTTCGCCTTTCCCGCCCTCGCCTAAGCCCTCGCCCGCGCGAGGAATTGTGGGCCAGCCCCCCCGCCACCAGCCACCGGGAACGCTGGGCGCCCAATCCCCACACCCACGCACGCCTTCCCCGCGAGTCCAGTCTGAAGCATGGTGTTTTCTGAGACCGTTGGTTCACTGCCTGCCTAACTTAAGAAGGAGCTGGAAAAGTAAGCAAGTGATGGTCCAGTAGTGGGCTGGGTGTGGTCTCCCGGTTCTGAAAAGGAATAATTGGGTTACGGAACAGCTCCTGCTCTGGTACAGAGGTGAGAAGGGACCCCTTCTAAAACAGAGAACTTTGAGGGAATTGAGGCGGTTTGGAAGGTGGGTTCCGAAGTCTGTCTTTGCCTAAGTGAGTGTGATTTCTTTAGGGCAGTAACTCGTTTGCTATATTTGGTGAGATTCTTAGCCTTAATTTTTTTTTTTTCCCTAGCTTAAAGGAACTTCCTAAATATTGCAAATCAGAGCTCTTTACGTAAAATCTAAGAAGGAAACATATGTTGAGCACTTTAGCAAATCCCACGCATTTCAAATGCTCACAATCGTACCAGGAGGAAAACAAGGACACAAGCTTAGAGCATAGTTTTCTTCAAGCCGGAATTAAAACCTAGTACCCTTTCTTCTACCCCAAGCTACCTTCAAATTGGGAGCCCCTTTTGGGTGGGGTTTCGGGGGTAGAATTCGAGAAGTGTTTGTCCCCCATTTGGTAGGACAGGGAAAGTCTGGTAGGACTGGTCAAAATGTGGATTGTTTGCCACGCAAACATTGTTTAACTACTAGTGTGAGTCACATCTGGGCACACAGTGGGCATTACATAAATGTCCGCAGGGAGAATTCATGCTTCTAAAGCAACCAGGGTCTTGGGTGAAGAAGAGACGGTGTTCACGTATTTAAAGATAGTGCTTTACTTGGTTTGCTTACTGAACGGAATGAGTCGTGTTTAGAACTTTGTTTCACTGTCAGTGGAGAGTTAAGAAAGTAGTTAACTCTATCTGTAGTCATATAATTATGTGTTATTAATATCTTATTCTGGGCCTTGAGTTGTCTATAATTATCGTTTTTTGCAACATTCTGCAGATTTCTTTAATACAGTTTGCTCTATAGTCTGCCTTTCAAACTAGGATCAAGGTTTATGAGGTCAGGCACCAAGAACTAAATAAAAACTATGGGATTTTTATGGAAGGTACACCTTCGTATGGGGTCACATTCACTCGATTTTTAAAATTTTTTATTTATTATTTTTTAAGATTTTATTTATTCATTTGACAGAGAGAGATAGCAAGAGCAGGAACACAAGCAGGGAGAGTGGGAGAGAGAGAAGCAGGCTTCCTGCTGAGCAGGGAGCTGGACCGGGGGCTCATCCCAGGACATGACCCCAGCAGAAGGCAGACGCTTAACAGACTGAGCCACCCAGATGCCTCTACTCCATTTTTTTTTTTTTTTAATGAGAGGGAAGAATTGAATGATTTAAGTGGTAAGCCACTTAAAATATTTTATATTAAATAAACATATTGTAAAGTAAAATGCAAACATAAAAATAAATTTTCAAATAATCATAAGACTTTGAAGAATGATCCAGTTTAACCTGGATACTTCAATAGTCTCCTGAAGCCTCCTAAGAATATGGGTTTTTTTTGTTTGTTTGTTTTTTTGTGTTTTTTTTTCGTTGCAATTTAATGAAAAAGTTTGAGAGGCACTACTATGGACAAATGAGCATGGGCCTTGAAGTCATACAAATCTGGGCTTATATCACATCTCTGGAAATTACCAACTGCAAACCTTGCAACAAGTTACTTAGTTTCCTCACCTACAAGTAAAAGATAATAATTCATAGGATTATTAGAAAGGTCAAATTAACAAATATGGTGGTTTTGATAAAACTTCAAGCCTCAGACACACATATTTGGAGTACCAATATCAATTGTAGAAAGCTTATACATAGTAGGAACTCAAGATTTTATTTGTTGTCCACAAATTCTTGAAATCTCATTTCTGTGACTCCTATTTTCTCCATATCCATCTGGTTTTTCTGTCTCTCTTGGAAGCTCATCTTCCATAACCTGACCCTAAAATGTTACAGGTTCTTTTAAGACCCCATAGCTGATCTTTTGCTGACTATTCTCCTTCTCTTGTGCTCTTATTCTTTCTCTCTCTCTCTCTCTCTCATTCAGTGACTATATGTCAGTGGTTCTTTTTTTTTCCCTTAATTTAAAAAAAAAAAGATTTTATTTAAGAGAGACACAAAGCAGGAGCAGGGAGAGGGGCAGAAGGAGACGGAGAGGGACAAGCAGACTCCACATTAAGAGCAGAGCCTAACACAGAGTGTGATCCCAGGACCCTGAGATCATGAAAGACCATGACCTCCAGGGAAGTCAGACATTTAACCGACTGAGCCACTCAGGCACCCCGATTCTTAAATTTATATTTCTAGCCCAGCTCTGTTATCTCACCTCCAGATGCAAATATCGGATTGCCTACTGGACAATGCAAAGGTCTCCAACTCAGCCTATCTATTTTTTTTTTTTAAGATTTTATTTATTTATTTATTTGAGAGAGAGAAAACATGAGTGTGGGGGAGGGGCAGAGAGAGAAGGACAAACAGACTCCCTGTGGAGCAGGGAGCCAGAGGTGGGGCTTGATTCCAGGACCATGGGGTCATAACCTGAGTTGAAAGCAAATGCTTAACCATCTGAACCACTCAGGAGCCCCTCCAACTCAGCCTATCTTAAACCTAACTCAGGGTCACCTTGGTGGGTCAGTTGGTTAAGCATCTGCCTTCGGCTCCAGTCATGATCCCAGGGTCCTGGGGTGGGGCCTGCATCAGGCTCCCTGCTCAGTGGGGGGTCTGCTTCTCCCTCTGCCCTCCCTTTCTCTCTCTCTCTCTCTCTCTCTCAAATAAATAAAATCTTTAAAAATATTTTTTAAACCTAACTCATTATCTTCTTTAGCCCACTCCCCAAACCTTGTCCTCTTCCTGCATTCCCTACCTCCATAACCTGAATATCCATCTTTTCCATGTGCACAGACAAGAAACCTAGGAATCATTCTCAACACCTTCCCTTTTCACTCCCCATGTTTAATGCATACACAAATCCTATCAGTTTTCTCTTTAACATATCTTGATTCTGTTCATGCCTTCACCTCTAGGCCAAGCTCCCATCATTTTGTTTGTAGGTACTCAAGACCATTTTAGCTGGTCTCTCTGCATCTTGTCTTCTTCTCCCCTCTAGTCTGTTCTCCCATGCTGCAGCCAGAATGTTCTTTCTACAGTACAGTTCTATATTTCAGCTCATGTCACTTTTTATTTTACTCTTAGGATACAGACCAAATTTCTTAGTAAGACTCAAGTTTCCCTTTTAAGGCTCTCACGGCACCAAATGCCTCTGTGTGATCTTTTACTTAGCATATGTCTCCCTGACCAGATTGAAAACTTCAGTAGAGCAGGACCACGTGGATTTTATTCCAGGTGTTTTTCTGGACCCCTAGCCCAATGTATGGCTTTAGTGGGTACTCAGTAAATATTTATTAAAAGAATGGATGATTAGGGGCGCCTGATGGCTCAGTGGGTTAAAGCCTCTGCCTTCGGCTCAGGTCATGATCTCAGGGTCCTGGGATCCAGCCCCACATTGGGCTCTCTGCTCAGCAGGGAGCCTGCTTCCTCCTTTCTCTCTGCTTGCCTCTCTACCTGCTTATGATCTCTGTCAAATAAATAAATATTAAAAAAAAAGAATGTATGATTAGATGATTGACCTGCGCCTCTCTCCCTATATTTTTCTATTTTGTACTTTTAATCTGTATACTTTAAAAATATAAATTTATAGGAAATATATACTTGTAGAAAACAAATAGAGAAAATATAAAGAAGGAAACAAAACTGGTTCATAAATTTTCTATTTAGCTCAGATAATAATGTTAACATTTTGGTTTATTTTAATCCTTCTACAAGTTCATATAATGTATTTATCTTACATATTTGTGGTCAAATTGTGAAGAAATTTGTTTACCTTTTGTTTTTCACTTAATAATTTGTCAAAAGCTTTCTCCCATGTAATTACAAATTATTTGAAAATTAAAATTAATGGTTGCATACATTCTGTCCTGAAGCCCATCTTTCTAATCTGGCCTATAACTGTATAGTTGAATTATTTCCACTTTTGTTTTGCTTTTGCTGTGATGAAATAATTCTCTCTCTCTCTCGAAGTACATTTCTTCAAGTAAAATTCCTGGGTCAGAGAGTATACATTTTCATTTTGAATCATACTGCCAAATATTTATACCACTTATACTCCTACTAACAGCATATAAGGGCTAGTTTTCCCATCTCCATCCCAACACTGGCCTTCAGAGTCTTCAAATGTTTTTTTATTTTTCCGTTGTTATTGAGGTATAATTGACTTCAACTGGTAATTATGTTTTATTACTAAGAGAGGTTAAATTTTTTTTCATATGGTTTTCTTGGGCAAATGTATCTTATTGAAACTATCCCATTTAGATCCTTTGCCCACTTTTAATTTGTAAAAATGGTAAAATACACATAAAAAACCA